GGGGTAGGAAGTTCTTCCAGACAAAAGCAGAAAAGTGAAACAATATGTTTGCATAGTGGAAGACTATGAGTGAGTTAGGTGGTGTTTTTTTCACATGTATTTTGAAGCCAACAGAGCAGTGTGTAGTTTTTCTCATGTATTGTAGTTGTAAGTCAGTCATTAAGAGAAGAGCTGTAGAAATAACATACCATGAAGTAACTGTTGATACCCAGAGGATAGTTTCTAAAAACAGTGGTGATCCTCTGACTTTTCATTCATTCTAGTTTGTGTAGTGGCTTCTTTAATAACAAAATACCTGGAAAAAACTTTTTTTGGACAGACATTCAAGGTTGGTTCAGAGTGAAATGTCTCCACAAATATTGGAAGAATTGCCTTGAAATTACTCATTTCCTCCTCAGGATGGACTATAATAACTTTTTAACCTTTCCTCTTGCATCATCTTTAGATACACTGACTGTTTAAAACCATCTCCAAACTGCCAGGAAGAGAATTCTGGTTGAGAAATTCTAAATCCCCCATAAGTATTTCTTTCACTCAATTATTTACTGTACTTTATGCCCAAATACAGTCCAATTTAAATACTATACTAAATCTTCAAAATGTAATCTAGAAAACAGTCAGTCCACCTCTGCTTGTTCCCAAGGTTTGGAGTCTCCGCTGCCATTGAAACAAACAAAGAGCTCATAAAATCTCACTGCATCCATACTGTAGTCAAGCAGCTATATCTTGATGAAATCACAGTGTGTAGCTGCTCTCAGGAGTCAAGACGAGGTCAATAATGACATGCCTCTCGAAGGTTTTCATTTGCTTTCACTGTAGTATATAAGCAGACATATTAAAGGATCATTCTGGGTTATAATAACAAGGGTCTTATTTGTGTAGACATAATTTTCAGAGATTATGATGAAATTGTATTCAGCAAAGTACTTATTGAAAAAAGCTTATAGTTAGGGCTGGCTCAGGCTTGCCCTGTACCAGCCCCTAGTTAGGCTGACTTAGGCCTAGTCTGCCGGAGGACCCCCCTATAATACACCGGGCACCTTCTCTCCTTCTCTCTCTCTCTCTCCTATTCTATTACTGCATCTTGCTAACTCGGCCATTCTGGATGTCACTAACTCGGCTTCTTCTCCGGAGCCTTTTGTGCTCCACTGTCTCTCAGATTAACTCATATCGCAGCGGTGCCTGGACAGCGTGACGTATGTGGTTGTGCTGCTGCCGTGGTCCTGCCAGATGCCTCCTGCTGCTGCTGCCATCATTAGTCATTAGTCATACTTCTACTGTTATTATACACATATGACTATTGTCACACAAGTATACTGCCAGATGTTAATACATACTTTCAACATATTGTACCACAGTAGCCAGAACTATAACTATAATATTATTACTTTCAATAATGTTGTTGTAAGCTACTGTCATTACCTGCATATCTCTCTCTCTCTCTCTCTCTGTCTCATTGTGTCATACGGATTACTGTTAAATTATTATGCTGATCTGTTCTGTACTACATCTATTGCACGTCTGTCCGTCCTGGAAGAGGGATCCCTCCTCAGTTGCTCTTCCTGAGGTTTCTAACGTTTTTTTTTCCCCGTTAAAGGTTTTTTTTGGGGGAGTTTTTCCTTAACCGCTGCGAGGGTCATAAGGACAGAGGGATGTTGTATGCAGTAAAGCCCTGTGAGGCAAATTGTGATTTGTGATATTGGGCTTTATAAATAAAATTGAATTGAATTGAATTGAATTGAATTGAATTGAATTGAACTGAATTGAATTGAAATTGAATGACTACAACACAGTTGGACGGGTCAAGAAACAAAAGCAGTCAGTTTGGACACAAGCCAACAGATTATCTAGACATACATTTTATTGATTCGTTTACCACAGTAAAACTCTTGAACCTGCAGTCTTTGTACCTGTGTGGGGGTTTGGTGCAAATGAAACAACGGCAAGTACAGCGGGCCAAGATTAAAGCAGGAAGGATTTCTTTATACTGTGATGACACTGGACACTTAATAACATAGATAAGTTTGGCTCACCTAGGAATTAGATGACCTGTCTAATCTGTTTGTGGTTGTTTCACCACCAGACTTCTTTGTAGTGACATCACCATGTTCCCAGATCTTATAGGAGCAAGACACACAGACTTTTTGTGGTGGTTCTGCCTCTATTTGTTGTTGATGATTTGCGTCTCTTTGTGGTTAGTGTCTTTTTGTGGTTTTGTGTCTCTTTGTAGTAATTTGGTTTGTTCTTGTGGTTGTTTTGTGTTTCTTTGTAATTGTTTTGTGTCTCTTAAGGACATACAGTATTTGTGTCTTTTTTGGTTGTTTTGTTTCTCTTTGTAGTTGTTTTATGTCTCTCCAAAGTCATTTTATGTGTCTTTTAGGTATATTTGTGTCTTTTTTGCCTTACTGTGGTTGCTTTGTGTCGATCCATTGTACTGTATCTCCTTGTAGTCATTTTTTGTCTCTTTAAGGTATATTCCTGTCTTTTTTTGGTTGTTTTGGTCTTTTTGGAGTTGTTTTGTGTCACTGTAGTTCCTTTGCATCTCCTTGCTGTCATTTTGTATATCTTGAAAGTCATTTTGTGTCTATTTGTAGTTCCTTTGCATGTCTTTGTTGTTGTTTTGGGTCTCTTTAAAGTTTTTTGTATCTCTTTGTGGTCATATGAGTCTCTTCTTGGTGGATACACGTTAATTTGAGTGGCATTTTGCAGATCAAGGCCAGGAGGTCCTTGACATTTGGACCCCTGGGCCTGTGCCCGGCAGGCCCGTTCAGTAATCCATCCATGCTGGTGGATTGATGGGGAAAAATCCCCCCACAAAAATAAATGGAATTATATGTTAAAAGTCAGCATCTTTACGTAATAAACATTAGCTTGGACCGACAACATAATGTTTTAGAGTCTGATTCAGAGAGAGTAAAAAAAAAATAAAAAAGCAGAGCTCAGCTCACTGGTGGCTGGATTGTGTCTGTATACTGAGAGCTGTAGAAGGGATGACAATGTTGAAAATAGGTCAGAGGGGGAGAAAGACACAGAGAGAGAAAGAGCAAGAGACCCCCTCTGAGAGCCACTCGCAGTGCCAGAACCTGGTTTTGATCAGCACATTCCATTAGTCAATACAATCACAATGCTTCCTTACTGCCAGTGGGGACTGTGCTCAAGTATCCTGTTGTATTTTCCGTAAAAACCCTCTCTTCAAACTGACGGCCCTTGGGGGGATCATGGTCATTTTTGAAATTACAGTATCCTTATTGTCACACACCCACCCCTCCCTCCACCCACATTCATTCCTCCATTTTTCTGAGGGGGGACTCCTCACGGATTTTAAATGCACTGCTGAGTCTAAAACAATGAATGACAACAATGGAACTATCAGGACAAGATGCTTTAAAAGTCCCTTTCTCATATGTCTGACAAAAAAACTTAACTTGATGTCCACTTACTGGCTTTTTCTGGAACTTTTAAAAGCATTTCACAGTCTTTAACACAATAATATCTCAATGACAGCTGATCAAACTTCATCCCCCGATGAAGACTCTTAGATGCAGTTGAAAGCCCAAAGTAAAGCTATCTAGTTAGTGGTAATGGTTTTGTTAGACTACTTTTTTTAAGGTCAAAAATAAACGTTCACACTCAACCGTTGTCATGGTTTTTAATTAACAATTTCTTAAAACACAACAGAAAAGAAGACATCTGATGTTTCTTATATTTCACAGTCTGTCAATAAAATAAAGACAAATTCCATTTGTACATTTGGAAAGGCACTTTGTTTCCCCACCAATTAGATTTTTCCATTAAAGGAGCTCTATACAATATTCAGAGCATAGCTATGATTCAGACATTGTCTGCGCATGGCTCTCAACATGGAGGTGGTTGAGCCAATGGCTAGCAGCTAACGATGTTAGCAGCGCAAAAAGTGCTAACAACAGCAAAAGAGGAGACAGAACTAACAATGCTAAAAATGGAGGGTGGATGCTACATTTGTACGACAACACCAACCTGCCGTATGAGTGCAGTGTAGAGCGGCGGCCATGAGCTAGCCATTGGGCTACAAATGGGTCGAACCATCCGCTACAGGAAGTGATTACTAGGGTTGTAAAGGTATGAAATTTTCACAGTACGATAACAGTCTCAGAAAATATTGTGGTTTCAGGGATTTACAGAATTTACATTATTATCAATCATAATGACCCTTAAAGGAATAATATGGATGGGTTATTGTTGGTTGAACAAACGTTTTATTACTATAACTGAAACTTGAAACCATTTTGTTAATGGAAGTATGTAGAAGCATGTAAAAAAATGTCTCCCCTTTGAAAATAACTAAAATAAAGTTGAGATTCTCTGTCCAGTTGCATTTTTTTCAGTATCGTAGAGCAAATATACACAGTATGATAACCATCAACTTTTATATCACAGTATACCTTGAAACCAGTATATCACTGCAACCCTAGCCATTACTCCACTATACCATTACATAGCAAATAATGGTTTGCTGCTATAATAATGCTCTGAATATTGTATAAGCTCCTTTAAATCAAAGGTGTTTTAACTTGTAGATGCCTTGCATTCATTATTTGTTTTTTTCTGTAAAATTCAAACACCTTAATTTTCACTGAGCACTTCTCCGAAAAAGTCAACATAGCTTTCTTGAATCCGAAATCTTTGGTATATAATTGTCTTTTTAAATTGTTGCATAGGTTAAGTTGTATCTGCGAGGTGTTGCGCTGACTACAGTCTCACACAGCTGGATGTGATCCAACATGGCCATAAAACATTTCAGGGTTGGTCAAAAACAAAACCTTCAGGGGTGCACTAATGAATTAGGGTTACGAAGGGTGACTGATGGCCATGTCATGAACAAGGCCAAGGCTAATGACAACCACCAGCCCAACAACATTCCCTGCACCCTGCAACATCTGCACTTTAACCTTTTTTTTTAAAAAAAAAAAAGCAATGGAAAGGTGAAGTGCTCTTAAACTGAACATGAGTGGAGAGAAGCATTCCCATGTGCAGACAGTCATTCCTCTGCATATCACCAGGTTTAATGGCTCCATAAAAAAAAAGGTATGTCATTGAATTATTATGATTGTTACATTTTCTAAGGGGGAAAAATGGCTGGCAACAAGTATGAAACGTACATAAATACAAAAGTACCATTATATACAAATAAGGTTTTGGTCTCTTATTAACTATTCAACACAGTGATTTTTAAAATGATTGCTTTTCCCAGCATGTGACTGCAGAATGTCTTCACTCTTGTAGGGATATTTGCTTGCAGTCTCCTTTCACCCACTGCTGATGTGAGCTAACAATGCATCGAAATCTCTTTAACACAGTTGACAGTAACAGTTATCTACAGTGATGTGCTAGTGACGTTAACTGAGCCTGAGGATTCTGCATGGAAGAAACCTCATAGTAACCTCATATTTTCTACCACAATAAAAGGCAGAATGCTTTTGCCATCAATGATTTCCAAGGCTCTTTGCAGGATCTGGCTCCAGATGTGAAATGTGGAAATGAATAAATGACATTATTCTCAGATATTGGCAGATTTTTTTGATGTTACAAAAGAAGACACTAATGATTTATGATGATGTAGCATAGTGCAACCATGGAGCAATCAGATCTTGTGCTGTGTGGTCAGTGTATGAAACATCAAAGCAGTTTGTACCACGTAGCAACCCCATCCCAAAAAAGATCAGTGGTTATCAGTGTCACGTCCCCACATCTATCAATTTATATTTAGCAGTAATATCCAAATGTGTTCAAAGAGTGAGCAGTTCCAAAGCCAGAGAGGGTAAAACCAGATCCATCATTCACCCCTGCTTACCTCTGAAGCAGAGTCTGTTTATGTTCATGTCACTTTCTCTCCTCTCTGTTTAAACATGGGTCTTGACCCCTGTTGAGGGGTTAGGAGCTCCTTGTTTATCATGAGCCCCAGAGATCCAGTGGTAGCAGTCAGTGGCATTCTTGTTGCGTGAATGAACAGCACAGCGGGTGCAGTAGATGATGCCCAGCGCCACCATCACCACAATGAAGATGCAGATGGGCACCAGGAGGCCCACTAGTAGCCAGGTGCTGCTCTGCTTCTCCGATCTGTCCCCCTGGATGGAATCCAGGACATCATCGCTGTCTCCACCCTCGCTCGGGGGTGGATGAGAAGGGGGAAGCTTGGCAGGAACAGTTGGGTCTTGGTGCGTGATTTCTCCATAGTCCTCTTCCTCCTCCCCTAGCCCCTCCTCTGGGAACTGAGGTTTTTCCCTAGGGGGGTGCAGTTCTTCCTCCTCCTCTCTGTGGTAGCTGGAATCTGTCGGCATGTTGTGGTCTATGACTGCATCCACTGGATTTCCTGGTTTATGGCTGGAGGTGGTGAGCCCTGCCCACCAATTCCAAGCCCCCTCAGAGACTGTAGAGGTGGAGAGGAAGGGGAGAGCTGTGGTGGTCTCCTCCTCATCATCCTTGTCATTTTCGTACCAGTCTGGGGTAGTGCTGGGATAGCTGGTCATGGGTGGAAGCGTTGTGTGGATGGTGGTTGGCAAAACGTCCAGCTCAGACTGAAATCTCTGCCCCCAGTCCAACCAGTCAGCTCCTCCATTGTCTATGTCTTTCTCATCCTTCTCAGCCTCCTGTGTCGGAGGCTCCAATGCTAAATCAAAGAGCACGTCCTCCTGAGGGGCACTGGTGACCCAAATGACATCAGAATCCAAAACTCTGGGTGGATCAGTCAGCCAATCCAAAGATTGCTCCTCCTCTGGAGGCCAGTCAGTGCGGCTCTGTTGCGGGTTCCAGTCATAGTCCGCAGGGTGCCACGCAGGTCCAGGCTGGTGGGTGACCCAAGGAAAAGGAGGGGTAACAGCAGATTGGTCATCCCCTTCCCCTCTCTTGCGACATGAGAAGTGATCAGACATGAGTTCATAACCTTCCCCACAGTAGCACTCAAATCCACCCTCATAATTCACACACATCTGCTCGCAGGTCCCAGGAATCCTGCACTCGTCAGTATCTTGGCATCGGCTGGGGTCCTCAGGCATTGGGGAAAAACCCAGATGGCAGTGGCAGATATGAGACCCCTGAGTATTCTCACAGGCGTGCTCGCACGGGTCATTTATACACTCATCTATATCCTCACAGCCACCCTCATCCTCGAGATAGTAACCTTTCCAACACTGACATTCAAATGATCCTGGAGAATTTACACAAACCTGCTCACAAGGACTCTGGAGGCACTCGTCTACATCCAGACACCCACGTTCATCTGGTGCAAGCATGTATCCTTCAGGGCAGGCACAACGGTACCCATCTGAGAGGGGCAGGCACTCAAACTCACAGGGGGCCCCTTGACAAACATCAGATAACTCACAAGTGTGCCCATCTTCTCTTAGTTGATACCCAGCGGCACACTCACAGTAGAAGTGAGCACCGGCTGGCCTGCAGAAATGCTCACATCCGCCATTATCCGGGTCACACCAGTTGTGTGATACAGGGGGATTGGAGCAGAGGGGGGGATCTCTTGACCACCCCACTGTGCTGTCTTCCTTCAGCATACACAAAACTGACTGCTCCTCCTTGGTGCCTGTGGGGCAGGGCACGGTAGCAACAGATCCAAAGGGTACATGAGTTAACAATGTGCTTAAAAGGTCAAATGGTGTGGTGTAGAGGGCATTGCCTGCCCCCTCACTCCATAACGCTGGACACATTCCTTTGTAGGCATAATAGCAAAGATACCCATCTACAGGGATTGAGCAGGCGCCATCCAGCCATTTGAAGTTATCACTTGGCTCCTCAGTGTTGTAGCCCATAACCACGCAGCGTGGTACCGTGCACATACTATGGGAGTCCTCTTTCTGCCAGTTGGTATACTCTGTGTCCTGGTCACCAGTAGTCCAAGAGAAACCCCGCAGTGGGCGCGTGGTGGTACACTGGCGAGGTTGGCGTAGCAGGCCAATCCATACCTGGATGCTGGTGCGCGAGTGACGCAGGTCCAGAGTGGAGAAGAGAGTGGCAATATTGTTGGCATCCTCCCTGCGTTTAATGGTGGCCAGGTTGCCACCTTTCTCCTTGCAGGCCCTCCATGAATCCAGGAAGGTTTTGCGTTGGAAGTAGACCACAAAGCAGCCGTCCGAATTGCAAAGTGCATCCCTCTCCCTCAGATCCTGACCCAGGACTGAAGAAAGTCCAAAGAGCAAAGCCAGCAGGGAGGTTAAGAGAAGAGCAGCAGCACTGCTCACCAGGGAGCCCATTCTTTTTTAGAAGTGAAAATATCTCTCTGCCTGTCTCTCACTCCAAATTTCTCCTCACTTTTATCTCCCTGCTTTTGAAAGTTTTTTCTCTAGCTCACTTTTTTGTCTATCTGAACTTTTCTCCCTTCATTTGAACCCTTTTTTTTCTTTCACTGTCTGGCTGTGCTCTTTACTCTATCCCTGCTGAAAGAGATCTGTGCTGGAGTTGAGTGCATGCAGATTGTCCCAGGATTTCAGAGAGCAGGGGAGGGGAGAAAAAGGAAGGGAGGTTAGAGGGAGGGAGATATAGAAAGAAGGAGGGTGAGCAAAGAGGGGAGAGAGGGTGGGAGTTGAGGAAAAGAACTGTATGTTTTTGGAAGGGGGGGCTTTGTGAATGTGTGTGTGTCAGGATGGGGGGGAGGTGCAGCAAACTGTGTGTTTCTTTCTTTTTCAGAGCATGTCATATGGTTTTCATAAGCCCTGTCCACAGACATAGTTTGGTACTCTGCCATTTACCCGCATATGCACTCACACATTCATATGCATCTAATTGTCGCACTTGGAAAAAAAGCTTTCTTATCTCTAATAACCCAAATGAGACTACATAATCACTTGAAAAGATGCAACATTTCCAGCTATACACCAATTATCCGCTTTCTCCCCCTCTCTCGCCTTTAACTCCTCAGTCTCCCTTTGTCAATCATTTCTTACATCTTTCTATTCAGTTTGACTGAGACTCGCAGGTTCTGAACATACATACCTCCTATGGAGTTCAACACCTTCAACAGTATATGTTTTGTCTGCTTTTGACTCCATACAGAGTGATGGGAGATTTCCCAACAGGCACTCACATGCAATTTAAAGTTCACTCAGTTTGTCTGATGATGTTTTATGTATTTGCTTCAGTGGGTGTGTGTCTACGATGAGTTTGTTTATGGGGGAAAAAAAAGCTGTTCAAGGGCAATATGTAAAGCTCAGAGTTTGGCATCTGTCTGTTTCCACACATCTGGCACCCAACACTAACAACACAACCCTAGGCCAGAAAGAAGATACTGGTTCCTGCACAAAAGGTCTATGGAGACATTAAAAACAACAACACTCCTCTTCATGCTAATAACTCTCAGATTGAGATGGGGAAGTAGGGAAAGTTGTCGAGGTCACCGGTGTGAAGGAAGAGGGCCTCTGGGTTTACTCTGAAATGGAGACTTATGTTTCTGAACGGGGAATGTTGTAGGAAAGAGGGTAGTCCTATGTAGGTATGTGTGTGTCTGAGAGGAGGTGGAGGAATGGGGGATGTTGGGTGTTGGGGGAGTAGTAGCAGGAGTCCTGTGAGGCTGTAATAAATCTAGCTGGCTGTTGTTTGAGAGCCCATACCGTGTACTGAGCACCTCACTGTTAAAGCAGTGTGAAGTTAAAGGGCACCTGAAGCTACTGCACAGTAAATGCCTGTGTGTAGGCAGATCAATTATCCACAGTTTCCTATGTTTTATACTCTTAGGCTAGGTTGTGCCAACAAGTATAAATTCAATCTAAGAATTCTAGTCAAAGTTTAGCAATTCAAGCTTTAAAAGAATACATCCAGATTTAAAATTGAGCAGAGTTCTGTTGCATAATTAAAAACTAATCTTTGTTAAGTAAATCCAAGTTTATTGATGTAAACCCTGAATCTTCAACAGGCATCCATGACTTCTAGGGGGTTTTCAAAGTGAGCGCAGGGTGGCATTTTTTTTTTTTTTTTTTTCAAATATTAAAATATGACAGAAAATAGCCTACAAATTAACATGAATCCAAAAAAAAAAAAAAACTTAATTTACAATACACAGCATTTATGGCACACTAAATGTTACCTATAATAATCATGTAAAACAGCTATAACACTTTTCTGTAATAGAGAGGTGAACTACTACTACTACTACTACTACAGTTACTACAGTAACATAGGAGAGAGTGGGGCACAACCTGACACATTTTAGTTTTGGCTAAATATTAATAAAACTGTTTGAGATTAATTGTCAATTTTGTATGTGCTTTTTTTTTATCTGTGATAGGTTAACAGATAGATGTATGCAGATACCTATCTCTCCATCTACATCAGGGAAAGGATAGGTATCCACACAGGTATCCATCCATCATCTATACGCAATGGTTGGAACGATAGATGGACACAGATTGGGCAACCTAGATCCACAGGTCAGAATATGAGTGTTGAATGTATGAATATTGATTGTAAAATTGTGTGTCAATAAGATACCTGACAAATTAAAAATACAAAGTATATCTCATTTAATTAAGGATATTAGTTCAAAATGAACATAAGTTTTAAGTACAAAAATAGAGAAAATGTACTACAACTGGCTAAGCTGTAACGCCACGTTACAGCTAACCCCGCTATGTGGAAATTTTATCAAGCCCAGCTAACACTTTCTGAGAGTTGGTTTTCCCAGGACCCGGTTGGTGTCAGTTTGTAACTTTGATGAGGGGAACCTTCTTGCTTTTGTTGTATAAACCTAACCATGTGCTTTTGTTTACGTCCCGGCATTGGCTGCAGCATCTCGCAATGCCAAAGCAGTCACAGGAGGATACCTAGCCTGTAATATGTAGACGTGAAAGACCACTGACAAAGCGCCGATATGTGATGACTTAGGATGAGAGCGTGTTGTCAAAGTAGAAGATCCATTGTCTGCTAGCTGTCACTGTAGCCTGGACGATATGTGGCAGTACAAATTTAACTAAGACTTCCCAGCATGGCTGCAACCTGTACAAAGCAAAACACATGAGGCTTGGTGTAATTTATGCAAAAACTTTCCCATTGGCATGATCAGAATCAAGGAGGTGGAATCCCACATCCGGAGTGAGAAACATAGGAAAAAGCCAAGAACTTGTTAACAAATACCAGTCATTTGGCAGTTGTGTTCTACCCTCATCTCTGCCACGAGACAACTCCCCATTGAATGCTTGGGAGACTCATAGTCCTGCTTACATAATCTTTGATCCAATGTAATCACTGATATACTATTTTATTTTTTCCTAAAGTTGGGGCATTTACTGCAAAAGAGACAAATTAAAAAGAGACTGAAGTAGGAGTCTCCTGATTTTAAGTCATTAATATGTATCAAACTCCACAGCCTTTCTGTTATAAATAAGTTGAGAATTTTCAGACTTGACAAAGCTTGTCCACAGCCACACATATTATACAGCTGTTTTCACATTATGTAAGTTACATTTATTCACATAAAAAATTGTATTGTTAAAAAATACAGTACAGTTCATGAGAAACAATGGAGACATGAAATGGGACACAATGATAAGTTTTCTGAAGCTTGAGCATAGGGCACTACACATGAAACAAATTGTATCTTAAAATAAGTTCAATAACACTTTATCTATATTTAAGAAAAAGAAAGTGCATGTAATATACAATGAGATTTACAACCTACAAAACTCCTGAGACTAACCAAGACCCTAAAAACTAAACTACCCTAATGTTAACTACTAAATGTTCCCAAGACATTCAATCCATCAGTCTAAATGTTGGTTATTAAGGTAAGAGGAAATAACAGTACAATGTGAATAGATTGGAGAGTAACTGGTTTAGAAGTCCCCTGCTGTTTAGGCTGTTCAAGCTTTAACATATTGTTGTTGAAACTGCTGCCTGAGGCTCTTTCTAAAAACATAAGGAGATAATGACATTTTTACACTCAGTACGTTTGCATGACATTAGAGAAAATAGATTCATTGTGTCAGTCTGATTAAAACTGGACTCATACATACTCAATACATGTACAAATGTTAGTCCGACTGAAATCATACCAAAAAGAATTTCTCAAAGTGGGACTAATGCACCCAGATAATGTGATTGGGAGTCAAATTACACCTGCATGTATACAGTCAGTCGGACCCATTCTGGCCTTGGCACTCTGAGCAGGCTTCACAGTTTCCGCCCCAGGTTTTGACCAGGAAGTTGGCATTAAATACATAACCGAAGAAGAAGCTGGAAACAACATGGTCAAATCTAAATCCAGGGCCATGCATTTTTGGATGGTCGGAATGTACAGAGCTGTCAAGTTGTCCATCATGGTACCAGTTTGCCGCTAGCTAACCATAGCCAACTTGTTTGTCCACTGTTTGGTCTATGACATAATAGGTCAACCCGAAAAAGGTCCAATACTAACAACCTCAAAGGGGGCATATCGCATCTATCGTAGCAGAGTCACACATATTCTACAGCATACATCTCTCAATAGCCTCACCATTTATTCTACTAAAACATTTTCTCTGTTTCTACTGGAATGAAATATAATGAAGTTTGCTTATATTTAAAGAAAATGTATCACGTATCCACCTTTATCCTCATGTGTTTAGATTCTTGTGAGATAAAATGTGTGTCATTGGCAAATAATACTTTGTGTAAAATGATACAGGAATTCACAAAATTGTTGATATGCAGTATGAAGATGAGCAGCCCCAGAATGGATCCGTAGGGGACACCATACTTGATGGTTTTACTTTGAGATTCATGACCATTTACGAAGACACATTGCTCCCTCCCATGCATCTGGCTTCTGAACCAATTAAGCACTGTGCCTCTATGTAATACTCCCCATGTAAAGTCAGATGAAGTGCCTCTTTAAAGGGATAGTTCAACATTTTGGCAAGTTCGCCTATTGCCGTAATCCCTATAGTCATATAAGTAGGTACATTACCTTTAATTGTCAGTGCCTGCAGTTCTGAGATCGGTGGGGCAGAGCTGCCCGCTGAAATGGAGGTGAATGGTACAGCCCCTTCTCTCCCTCAAAACTAATCAAATACACCTTCAAATGACTCCAAAACGCTCTAGTGGAAAACACATGGCTTGCGCATTCCCCACGCTATGAAATAGTAATGTATAATAAAGTAACATTACGACACATGAAGCAAATACTCGGAACTACTTTCTTGAGTAAACCACTGGGCGGAGTGACACAGTGTGCAGCTGAGACAGTGCCGTTGTTATTGCTTGTAGCCATTTGCGGTATTGTCAGCTGTACTCATCAGAAGGTTTGAGGAAAGTTTACAAGTGTTTTTGTAAATCATGGTTTACACATGTATTGTAAAAGGTTGCAGTAACAAGCCGAAGACATGGAGCAAAGTGAAGTTTCATGTAGTTCCAACCAGTAATACGGATAGGATGAAACAATGGCTATTTGTGCTGGACATCGACACCAACACGCCTGTGGAAATGGTCCAGAAAATGTTT